TAAGAACAAAAGTAAATACCAACTAGTCCATAACAAAAATAACAAGAATCCATCACAAGTATAACAGGAATATGTATTTGACATGCTTATTCTGTACTACCGATACATGATTCTCCAATAAGTTTAAAATACAGAGAATAGGTATAATCCATCCTGTAATCCACTATGAGCACAATAATAGCAATATTAGAATTAACATGCTCACTTAAAACTATTCCACGATATCCAGTAAGTTGATAAGATACAATACTGTATAGTTAGCAATTAAGTTCCCATTAAACATAACAGAGAATTATCATATTTAGCATGCTTATTTTTATAACACTGCGACATGATTTAAACCATAAATTCCCTAAGTCATTGCTAATTTAAAAATGAGCAACTTGAACCATTTGCATCTAAGCCAACAATCAAACTTTCTGTAGAGTTTCCTACTGTTTTCTATATTAGCTTCCTATGATATATTATGAATTACCATGCCTTCTGAGACTTTAATAAGGGTTTAGACATTACTGAATACCCCTAAATCAACTCTTATTTCAACCTCGGACTTTAAAAATCCAACCATGACAGTCCAAGTCTCGTAGAGAACAAAAAACTGGAAAAACCACGAAGAAGCCTGCTCCCTCAAAAAGGGAGCCACCTCCAAACAAGTTGGAGTCGCCTCCAAGGCCTTTAGAGCCAGCTCCATGCTTCCATGGAGCCACCTTTTTGTGAAGGAGAGCCTACTCTCTTAAATTGAGAGCCGGCTCTCACCTGTTTCCTCATCTGTTTCGTCTCCGGTGAATTCCATTGATTCCGTCCCTCTCTGTTACAGCCTCTAATGGTTTTAATTAGGTTCAAACTTAACCAGAAAAGATTTATCCAACTCCTTTACGCATTGATTAACAGCAATTTAAACCAAGTACGTACACAGTCGAACACAAAGACTAACAGTTTACAAATCGTTTCAACACATACTGTTTTAATAAGTTTTAAGCATGCATAATCAATTAATTCTTACGTTCAATGATTCCTGAAACTGCTTAGGCATGCAAAGAACACGAGTAAAAGGGAAAGAGTTGAGGTTAGAACTTGCCTGTAAGACTTTGGTTCAAAATCTTAACGCCGTTATCATAAGGTTTCCGGCAATCCTCACTGAAATCCTCCTCTGTTCTCCGTCTGCCTCCACCGTCATGAGTAGGGTTCTAAAACCCTTGGCAGAACCTTATACATATATTTATAGGCCAAACTAATCCTACGTTCAATCAAACCCTAAACTGACTTACTCGGCCCATAGAGCAAAACCTAATTTATAACTATGCGTGTTACCAAATAATCCTATCACGTTAATACTTAAAATATTTAAATTTAAATTCAATTAAAACAACACATCAAGTAATGAAATTTAAATACACGATTAACCAGGTAAAGAGCTAATTAAATAAAAATAATTACATAATTATTAAACATAATGAAACAGTTTAAATCCAAGAATTTAATTAATACAATTAATTCAAAATTCACAATTACAATTAAATCAATTAAATAATTAAAATCCAATTAATTAAAATAACAAGTAATTAAACCATTAAACAAATAAATATGCACTTAAACAATTAAAAATGCCACACAAATAATAAATTAAATACCAGGACTATCCTTTTGAAATTAAGGGTATTACAGAACTCGATAAAGTGGTCAGCTTTATGAAGAATGGGTTAATCGAAGGGAGCTCCCCAGAGAGCTAGTTTTGTAAATGTGAGTTATGTCATGACCCGAAAATTCCAATAAAATTCTCAATTCATTCAACTCAAATACATCAAAATACACCCAGGATCATAAAAAAATACCCTCTTTTATACAAAGTCAATTTCCTCAAATATACAAAACAAAAAAAAAAAAAAAAAAAAAAAAAAAAATCTCCAATAAAATAAATTAAATCCGGCAACGCCAACTCTTCAACCTAAGCCCAAATCTAGCAATCCATGTTCATCTTCGGTACCTGAAACTGAAGGGTGATAAGACAAAAAGTCCCAGCAAGAAAAATCATAACAAGAATTTCATGAAGATTTAACAAAATAGCTTCACAAAACATACATATTTATATGATCAGTATATAAACAAAATAAATATGCATTTAATCAAAACATTTAATAAAAAAATTTAATCAAAACCACCCCATGCCATTCAAGATATAGAGAACCCTACACTGAAAAAGATTAATTCCCCACTGGATCATCAAAGCTCCAAGCTCCAATACCTCCTCTGCAGACTCTCGGACCTTTCTGTCTTTCCTCAATCTCGGCCCTTTGTGAACTCTCAGACCTCACTATCCATCTATGCTCTCACTCTTTAATTTTTCTCTATTCTATTTGCTTACTAAATTCACAAGACAATGCACCATACATAAAGGCAAATCCACCCACTTCGCATAGAAACCAACCAATAGACCCACGTGAAGCCCATTGCTTACATTATCTTTTCAATTCTTTTCAACTCATTTACACTCCATCAGACAATCACGTGAAGGAACCAAATTCAAAAAGACTTTTTGCACAAAAACCCAAGTGGGTCCCGCCCAGACCTTTCCAATCTTTTCTTTATTTTCTCGGCTGCAACACCCTTTCTCTCTTTTTTACCACTTTCGCCGACCTGCCATCTTTCCTTCTCCATCATCTCATTACATAAAATATATATATATATATATAATACATTCTCTATGCACAAAACCAAAAGGCCTTTATTATCATTCCTTGTGGGCCCTGCGTACACATTTCCATTTCCTTTTTCCTTCAACTTCGGTAGGCAACAAGCTTCCCCATCAAATTATATATATATATACACACACACACATATAAAACTAATCCAAACCATTACTCACTAATCAAGTGGGACCTGCGCCAACTATTACAACTTCATAATTTTTTCTCTCTCTATTCCACAAACTGATTCACCATATAAATATAGATATATATATTCAAATGCACAAACTAAATACAAATCCCATTTATCTTACTCTCTTCGGCACCACCTGCCCATCTGAAGCAAATATATATATATAAATCATATATAATCAAATCAACTCATTAAATCTCAAATCTCAATTGGGCAAATCTCCAATTTAAATAAATACAAAATCTTGACAACATAAAAATCATGAAGTAAATATAAATTAAAATTCTAAAAATCCGGTTTATCACAAATTAACGGAAGGGATCTCAGTTTCATAAATGTGAGCTAAATGAGGGAGCTCAATAGAAAAGTCAGCTTCATAAATGTGAGCTATCAGAGGGGAGCTCAGTAAAAAGATCAGCTTCATAAATATGAGTTAACCTAACTCGGCGTCTCGAGGTCCTTACAGTTAAAGGGAGTTCGAGAGAAAAATGCCCGAGGTTACGCCTGCAGGAAGCAACCTCTGAAAAGAAGGGAGGAGGGCCCATCCGACTGGAGCAGGGCTCGTCCACATGAGAGGAAGGGTAGCGACCCCTTCCTCGGCCAGTGAGTTCAGTTATAGGACGAGTAGCTCGAGGGTACTTAGTCCTTTTAGGAGCACGCCAGATAAGTACTGCTAGGTGTGCTTATTTTCAAAGATGGTGCCACTCAAACAGACGTCGTGGCACGTATATCAACATAGTTCTTTTACATTCAGTAATTCATCTGCCACTACAATACAGCACATTTTCTTCAAATTTTTTTACTATTGTAGGATTCAGATACAATATGTTTGCAGTGCCTGACTGAAAAACTAAGCTGCATAATATAAATAATGCAAATATGTACATCATCTGAGATATACAGAAGTTATGCAAGTTTGAAGGGTATATTCCAATCACTATTGAAAATATAAGAATAATTGGAACAAGATGGCTGTAGATTCTTACAAGTGTCTCAAGGATTGAAAGAACAGAAACACAAGAGAATGTTATCACCAGAAAACCATAAAATCGCTCTCTCCTTAACCAACATTTCTATTTCTTATTTCACAATACATATCAAAAGTTGTCAGTAGCATGTCATGAGATAAAGCAAATGCCTCAACTGCAGAACATAAAGCAACAAATGTACATAAATATCAACTTGAGCTTGCAGAGGGTAATGGTTCCGGCTAATCATCAATTGACATGTAAGCAAAAAAGTGGAATAAAGTAGACATAAAACTTACACACTTGCTTATGTGTTGATTAATCATTTTTGGTCTGCGTTCAGGTAATAATTTCTGTGTATAAAAAATCCACTTTGGCCATTCTGTAAAAACTGCATTTGAGCTACCCTTTTTTTCAACCCTATATTCCCAAAAACCACCATATTTTATTGGTTCCTTACGGTAGTCTCTACAATCAGCCTAAGAAAATCATACTAAAAATAACATTCCACCTGAACTTGTGTTAAACATAAGATGAACTTTTTATGCAGATCAAATATAAGACGAACTTTTTCATCCGTCTTAAACCCGATGTTCTGGTTAGGATTACCATAGATCAAGAATGCAAAAAATAAAATATAAAAAAAAAATAAATAAAAATAAATAAGCATTGGCCCCCACTCACTGCAGGCCAATTTTTTGTGACAACCATAGCCTTAATCAAGTATTTCAACTAAATGCAATAGTGGAGAAAGAAATTCCGGAAATATTAGTAGATGGGTAGTTTAGTCTTTTAATTATCCCTTATTTAGTAGGTCAGTCTCAAATTACCATTATAATTATGTTTGGGTATTTTATATATATGGTAATTAATTTATTGTTAGTTAAGTTTTGGAACAAAAGGAATTCTTGTTAGACAAGTATCAGAGCTCGCAAGGATTTTGAATCCTAATTCCTTCCCAACAACTCAATTCTTTATATTTGTTTGATTGCGCCTCTGTTTCATCGCACAACTCTATTCTTTTCTTTATATTTGATTGATTGTACCTCTGTTCCATTGCAACCCTAGTTCATTGTCGCAACAAATCGAATCATGTTGGGAGAGAGAATGGGCTTGGACAAGTACTACATGGAATTAGATTCTTCACCAGCGACGATGACGATGCCCACTAGCATTCGTTGCAGGACCTGCGGCAACTACATCAATAGAGGCACCAAGTTGAATTCCCACAAAGAAGCGGTGTTTGACGACAATGCCAAAACATATTGGTTCTCCTTCAACTGCAGCAAGTGTTTTGCTGTGATGGTGTTAGTGAAAAACCCTAAAATTTCAGCCACCCTAATACAATCAGGCGCAAGATGGAACTTGGACCCGGACCCTAGGCTTTTAGATCACTATGAAAAGGAAAGAGAAAATGAAAGGGAAAAGGAAAAGAAGTTGGAAGAGCAGGAGGAGCGAGCGATTGCACTCCTAAAAATAATATTAAAAAGAATCCATGATGGTCAAGATCTTGATGATGACGCCAATGGTGAAATTTGGATCATTGATTTAAAGAGGAAAAAAGTTTATGAAGAAACAAGTATTCACAACAGCTCTCACCTGAAGAAAAATCAGGACGCAGACGAACTCAATCTTCATCAGTTAGGTTTCCTAGCAAAGTTTACTCTCTAAGGGCAAAAAAAGAATGAAAGCAATTTGGTGCTGCACTGCAACCATACCTCCTGCAAACTATTTCAAATCACGTGTATTTTCTCTTTCAAATGCTCAATATTGTGAATATATTCAATGTCTTTAATTATGAATTCATGTTAAAAAAAGTAGAGCAGATTCAACAGATGCAGGAATTCCACATATAATCACCATGAAAACATAAATATTCACACAAATAAACAATTCCATAAAAACTGATAAATATGGCTGGCATTGTAAAAATTATTTTCCCTCATCCTAGTTTTGGACTATCATATCCTTCAATAACAATGGATAGCTGTCTAAAATCTTGTTATTTCCCGCTACAACTGTTCTCAGTAGGATATAAATGCAGCTTCATAATTCATATGTGCTGCTACGTGTGTGGTAAGTCTCATTTCGAAGCATATTTCAATACTGCAACTCACCCTGCAACCAAAACAGATTTTTATCTCGAACCAGTCAGGAAGATCTAAATCCACACACAACATGAAGATTTACATATTTACTATAATCATCAATAACTACCTTTAACTGCTATCTTCTTATCATTCTTTGAGACTATCTGGTTTGAAAATCCACTTTTGGAATGATTATTTCTTCAATAGAATCGGCAAACCTGACCTTTGACCGCTGCAAACACTGTTAGGAGATAATATGAACATTGTAGTATATACTTTTTGTAGGATTATAATATTAAATGCCTCCGGGAAAAACTTAAAATGTAAAGAACAAATCTATGCTCACAAAACTTGCTATGGCATAGAGTATGTAATATAACTTACCATGCGTCAGCAGTGTACAGTCAGATCGCTATTCATTTCACTGAGCCGACCTTTTGCCAATTGTTCTACTTCGGAAGCTTTAATGCAAGCTTCTTTTGACTGAAGTTCAAAATAACAAATAAAAAAATGAAATGAAATAAAATAAAATAAATAAATTACTTTTACTGTGCTTCTTTATCAATATATTTATTTTTGTCTTGAACACGGGATGAACATTTGTGAAAATCAGATCAATTAGAAAAGATAATTTTTCCCCTACAAAGATAAGATGAACTTTTGCCATTCCAGGAGGTTAATATTAGTTTTAATTTAGCACATTATTTCGTTGTTCTTCGCCAAAAAGAAAAAAAAAACCAACAGGCCTGTGGCCTAGCGGTACAAGGGTCCTACTTCCCAAAGGAAGGTCAGAGGTTCGAACCTCAGTGGAGGCAGTGTGTGTGAGTCCCAACTTATGAACTTGAAGGCCTAGGCTCACCACAGTGATGTGCGCCTATTAGCCAAATTTAGCGACAACCATAGCATTCAACTAACTTGTCTTGCCATCAAGACATCTTTTAGTTCTTTTACATTCAGTAATTCATCTGCCACTATAATACAGCACATTTTCTTCAAAAAGTTTTACAATTGTAGAATTCAGATTACAATATGTTTGTAGTGCCTGTTTGAAAAATTAAGCTGCATAATATAACTAATGCAAATATGTACATCATCTGAGATATACAGAAGTTATGCATGCTTGAAGGACATATTCCAATCACTATTGAAAATATAGAATAATTGGAACAAGATGGCTGTAGATTCTGACAAGTATCTCAAGGATGGAAAGAACAAAAACACATGAGAACATTATCATCAGAAAACCATAAAATCGCCCACTCCTTAACTAACATTTCTAATTCTTATTTCACAATACATATCAAAGTTTGTCAGTAGCATGTCATGAGATAAAGTAAATTCCTAAATTGCAGAACATAAAGCAACAGATGTACATAAATATCAAATTGAGTTTGCAGAGGGTGAACAGGCAATAGTAATAATTACATCATACAAATATAACAGCTAGAGCAATAAATACTAAAAAATGCAAATTCAGTTCATTCATTACTAACCTGATTGACGTGTACAATATGATCATTGCCATCAATATCAGATTTCTCCAAAATATTCCGAAGGTATGATAATTCCTTAATCAACTCCAAAACTACATCTTCAGTATCTTGCATCTGATTTCTGGAGAACTCAAATGCTCTGTCAGCATGGAGATGAAACGAAGCACAGTTCAGACAGTTGCAGAGCCCTCTGCATCCATGTGGATTCCTCTTAAGAATCCCCCTTCGAGGACAATTCACCAGAACTCCGGAAGGAACAAATGCTCAGGAAGAATTTTGATCCAATCTGACTGCTTCAATTGGCATTGCATCTTTAGAAAAATCTGCCTGTGATACTTTGGCACTTTCTATAGTAATAATTGATAAACAATGAAAGGCTTCTGATACACCATCTCATGGCAAAGTTACAGGACTGAAAGGAGAGCATAACGACATAGTTGTTGCTGTTGTTTTCATGAATCGAACTCACTTTATCATGGTTAGGCTCCAATTTCTCGGGTGCATCTGATTTAACCTGTTCAACTTGCAATATCCGTTCCATCTGAAAATCAGAACTCTGCGTCTCAGTAGTCCTTTTAGCAAATAAGTTTAGCTCATTAATAGATGAACTTACAGTGGGAGCCAACATGGCAGGTGACAGATTTGGCCCCTTATCACAGGTTTGATTCCCCATGGAAAAACTGTCTATTTTACATGCATCTATGGGGGTTTCTTGACATAGGTTTGGCTTTTCCTCAACAATTTCAACTTTTGGGCATTGACTACCTTTCGAGGAACCTACAAGAAAGAACTTAGTAAAGGTTAGCTTCTGAACATTTTGGGTGCCCATCCAGGGAGTAATCAACAGTTCTTAAATACAATAAATTAAGGAACTGGAACATAGATAAGGAATATCAAAAGAACTACAAGAATCGTCTTTTGTGATATCCATCAGAAATGGAAGCAATCTTCTGTAGCTGAATGAGGCTGGAGATTTGAATACCTTCAGTCTTGAACAAGGATTAAGAGCCTAGAACAGACTTACATGGCCAACTTACTTTAGTACTAGATAATGTTCAGTCTTCTCATAGAATGTGAAAGGAACATTTCCAAAATTAATGGAAAATAAATTGATCTCATGGTATGCTTCACGTGAAAGATTTGATGATTGATCTACTCACCAATTGACTTTTCAAAGTAGAGTAATTCCTCCTATAAACATCTGCATGCAGACTCTGATCAACACAAACAGTTTATGCTGACTCTCTCATTCGCTGGCTTCGCTAAATTAACGGCCATCCTATGTTTGCAAATAATTTTCCTGTGTGTCTTCCAAGTTATCATTCACCTCAAGTTTAAAGAAGATATCAGCATCTGGTGGCGTCATCTAAATTTGTTCTTCTGTCAATTCAACTCCATTTGAATTCTCACCATCCTCCCAACTTCTTTGCTCCACCTCATGCAATATAACATTCCCTTTAGTTTGAATTATATTAGGAATTGTAACATTTGAATCCCGAACTTTGCAAGGCGATTCCCTACAAAATTTCTTAATTTTGCCACTATCTTTTGTCTTTCCATCATCACAATATTGACCAAGATCCTTCTACTTACCAGAAATGCAATCATCCACTTTTGAAGACAATATCTTCTGTCTTTCCATCATCATTTCAATTACTAACTTCGCAAGAAAACCTTCAAAGAGATTTCACATTTTTTGAACCATCTAAGAAGGAAAAAACATACATTATAGTAACAACTAGCGTTAAGTTACTTTCATCAGCACAATAATATTCAATTTGTTAAAAAATATTAAGAGGTAGATAAAAAATTCAAAAGGACTTACAAGAATTCTCTTTTGCAATATCCATAAGAACCGGTAGCAATCTTCTATAGCTGAATGAACTTGGAGTTTTGAATACCATCTCCCCAGAAGGGGACACCTAACACAGAATTGCAAGGCTAACTAACATAAGCAGAGACCATTTTCTGTATTCTCATTAAAAAATGCATATACAAAGCCCTAATTATAAAAAGCACTAAAATGTGAAATAAATATCAGTAAATCACAATTTGAGAGATTAATATTTCATTAAAATGTTAAGACACTTCTAATATTTTTCCTTCCTATTTCTTGCGTTTTCATGAACATATTGAAAACAGTTGCATTTTTGGCTGAGACATCATTCATCAAATAGTGCATGGATATTCATAACACACTTGGAAAATAGACAACGTGTTAGCAATGGCTATTTGATACTGTCTTGTTATATGGGCTGGGCTGCCTAGTTTTGGGCTGGCTGTAATGGGTTTCTCTTTGTTTGTCTTTCGGCTTGGTTAGCTTGTGCCAATTTCTTGTTTGGCTCTAGCTCCCTTGTAAATTATTACTCCACTTATAATTTGGTTAACTCCAATAGTTATTATTTAAGAAGAGACATATCATCTAAGCTAACGACTCCAGTGATACTACGTAATAAATTAACATGTAAAATAATTGTAGGTGTCATAAATGACGTGTAATTGTGAAATTATCTATTTAACTTTTTCTTTGTGAAGACTTGGAAATATTAGAAATGTCCTCGTGGAAAGGCGAATAAACAAACCCCCATTGTCTTCCTGGAAAGGTGAATAAGGACAAGACTCTACCTCCTCTAGTTCCTCGAGGACCAATGTTGTAATGATTTTGTAGTGTTTGAAAACTTGTTGGGTTCTATATTTCATGGTTTTCAGAAAAGGTGTATTTTCCACAAGTGCCTGGCTTGTGTTCAAGAATAGAATAAATAGAATATATATGTACATATGTGTGGTTATTCATGTATATGCACATATTTGTAAATAAACGTATGTATACGTATTGTAGTAAAAACTACAGAATACAGCAGAAACAAATGTTAACAAATCAGCTTTGTGACTTTGCAATTTGTATATTTTGATGCTTCTACAAAGTGTGATGTGCTTTTTAATAGTGTAAAAAAGCCCGCCAAACTTTACTCTTTTTGTTTCAAAATAATTTGTAGCACTTTTCCTTCCTATTTCTTGTGTTTTGATGAACATATTGAAAACAGTTGCAATTTTTGGCTGAGACATTTATCAAGCAGTGCGCGGACGC